TATACCAACAGAGGCTTTTCCAGGTTTTCAGAGTATCATTTTACAGAGCTCAAAGAAATGTATAAAAGTTCCAAAACTTTACTTTCAATCTGCTTCCAACAGAAGGTATCAAAATTCGATTTGACACTTTTGATATGGGTTCAGCATTCCTCACTACGATGTCCATATACTTACCTGAATTGTCGTTGATTGTTTCCATCCCCGTAGCTAATGGAAATCCGAAAACCATCGTCGCACAGATGACTGTCTGTAGAACAAAACCGGATAATAATGCAATAAATACAGACGTTTTTTTGAATAGAGAAAATGCAACAGATCCAGTTATTCGACTGGTCTTCAGAGAAGGAAATCTCACCCATGACAGCCATTTCGGGAGCATGTTGATCTCTGAAAAGAACAATATTCCCCGATATTAATGAGGTATGTAAGCAGAGGCGAAGCGGGTGATTGTCAAGAATTAGTGGCTAATGGAAGTAGGCAGTGTGAACAATTGCAAAGAAGTCCATTGTAGCCGGCAATGATAGACATTAAAGTTAATAGAGACAGGATTTGTAGGGCATATACCGGTCGCCCAACGGCGATCATGAGCTGTTAAGGGTGACCACCGTCAGGATCTATGACTGCTCTACGGCTGCGCCTGCTGCTGAAACCCCTATTTTACTCAGGTTTGCTATGCACCTGCTCCGAACCACCTATTAAATGAAACGTACTCTCCCTCTCAAAGCAAAATATGACTGTGGAGAAGAAGAAGCTCATCCGGAATAGGACTGGTAAATTCTAACTTCCTCCCGAAACGTTTTTTCAAACAGTCTCGTTCAGGTTCCTCCATTCCCTCATATTCCTAGTCGAATTCGTCATATGACTCTTGCACAGGGTCACAACATTTCTTATCAGAGATCTGTCAGTTGAGGAAGCCATAGACACATTGAATTTCAATCTTGATTTGATCTCAGTTATCTTATTTGAAATCTTCGAGGTTCCACCCAAGCAGACCCGTTAGTGATGGAGTGCATTAGTTGACCATCGAATTCCTCGCATTCTTTATTCTGAAGGAGTTCATGACCACAAAAGGAGGGCGATACTGGGCCTAGCAATCGAATCTTTTGAAGCACCTCATTAGATTTTTTTAAGACATGAAATGAAAGGCGAAAAACAGCATTATTCGGAGAAAAGCAAAAGTTATCCTACTAGTGATATCGGCGGACGATTCAGCATCACTGGCTCACTACCACTCTCGTCTAACCGACTCAACTGAGTGCTAAGTATATTATTTTAAGCCGGAAAGAGATACCGTAGTAGCCCCTCTGGGCTAATATGAAATTTATTCATTTATTTTTGCGCCATGAGGGCGGCGTCATTTTTAGATTATGTATTTGAAATAAGGTCGCCCTCATGGCGTTTTTCCAAGTTCGAGACCTGATTGTCCTCTACCTTCCAAACCCAGGAACTACAACACCCAAGAATTTTTATGTCTATCTCCGACCTAATCTTCAAGTCTTCGAGTGTGGTTTTGACAGCTCAGACCTCATGTCATTCTACGTCAAATTTCAGCTCAAAACATACGAATTGTTCAACAAATCAACGATTAGCAAAGGCAAAGGAAAGTGGAGTAGGGGGACACGACCTCTGAGTATGAAAGAGCACCTTAATAAAGGCTTAATCAGGGAAACTCAGGAGAAGACCATATGGACGTGCGATCGTCTCTCACTATGCTTTTCTCATGGAAAGACTCTGTCAACGCGACGATCTCGAGATATAAGTTCTCTACTCAGTCAGAGACGATAACCAAAAAACCTCGGCTTTGTAAAAGAGAGTCACTGAATGAAACCC